TTTCAAACGCAAAACGAGTTGTCCATGTGGCTGCTGAGTCTAGAGGTTCACTGACTTGTGTAACGGAATGAATTTTAATTCATATATATTGGTTGTTTGGATTTTTCCATTGGTGTTTAGAACTTCAATTGATCACTTACTACTTTGTAGACCATAGAAGTCAGACAACTTTAGACATGTGGATTTCTAATTGAACAATTAAAAAAATATCTAATTGTAACAATTGTCGTAGTGTAATATTCAAGCTATTGATCGTTTTCTAGTTAAAAGCAATAGTTTACTATTACTAGCAAATCAGATCCGATAAAAAAAAGATTACTTTCGAGTTTTTGCCATGCAGTTCGACAATGAATAACTTTTATCAGTAAAAGCACAGTGTACGGATGAACCAATTAGAATTGTAAATGCAGTTATTCGACTTTTACGCCAAATTTGAATGTCGAATATGACGGGTAGATGTGAGGATAAACTTCATTCTTGTTAGCGATTTTAACCTTGCAACTGAGGATCAACCAAAATGAAGCGGAATTTATTATTTACACTGTTGTAATCCATGAGGGAGGGCATGTATTTTTCTGTCATTTTTGCTGATTTAAATGAGAAGTGTCAAGTTTCCTTCCACGAAAATACCACTCCATCATTCTACGAACGTGTCAAGTGTAGAGTATTCAGTCATGACGGACAAGAACTCACATAACAAAAAACATACCTCCAAATAATTCTGTAATACCTACAATTAAGTGACTAAATAAGCAAAAATGTAACTGTAATTACTGACTACGATACACTTAGATGACTTGACAGCTTACCAGATAGCAACCCTTTGGATTTTTGTATGAAATTCAGTCATCCATACTACTATAAGGGAATTTTCACTATAGCTGATATCATTTAGTCAAGGAAATCCTAATTCAAACTATGAATACCTAACCTTATCCATGAACAATGTGAAGACTGAAGAAAATCTACTTGGATCCTTAGAGAAAAATTTGAGGAAACTGTCTTCTTGAATATCTGAGCTACCTATTTCCTGCCATCTAGATATTTCAACAAGTTTTAACACATCATTATGCCTATTAGTCGTATAACTTATTCAGGTGCATTTGTGAGAAGTTTACATTTCTCTATGCAAGTTACAAAAGAGCCCAATCAGAGAAATCGTGGTGATTGTCAATATTCATTAAAACAAATAAACACTATTCAGATATCGATTCCTGAACTGTTAACATCTAACTGGCAACCATTCAATATTTATCGCAACGATCAACCAAGATATAAGAAAAGGAATTGAATCTCGCGAGGCGGAATCGTGGCTGCTCACTGCCGCTGAGGAGCCCCACAATAGGACGAAACGGCCGTCCAGTGCTTCCAGGTTTTCCATGGTGATCTAGCTGGCATCAATTGACTATGAAAAAGAAGCTTGTTGAATTACTTTTGTTCCGGAAATTCTCTACTGTACCTATTGAAATGATCCAGAAAGTTTCTCCCAATAGACATGACAAGCTCACAAAACATTAACAAGCATTTTATCCAATCACTGTTTGATTAGACGCTTTGCTAGCAACATCGTGAAAATGAAAAGTTACATGTAGAGGTTCTGATTGACTGAATACGACACTGCTACTAAATTTAGTAGTATCCTAGGATTTTCAGAATAACCCAAGGACTCCTTAAATACCATAAAATTCCTATATTTTCTGTACATAAATGAACCTTTGGAGTAAAGCGCTTCCCGCATATTTTGCGCCTTTTCTCTCGTGTTCAAGTCACTGTATAGTTCTAGCTTGGTGGTTTACGAGACTAGTTTAGGATCCGAATGTAGTGTTCAATTAGCAAGACCTATCAGTACCAAATATATAATATTGAATAAAGCCACCCCATAATAAATAAATAAAGTATATAGATCATATATAATTTATATTCCAGTTAAAGGTTGTTGTTTGGACATACAAGCATGTTAACCCCTAGTAATCTACGATAAACTCATTAAATATGTGAAATATATTCTTCTTATTTTTTTTGTGTGCAAATATCATTCTTTATTATAAATTATCGATTTGCAAAATGGTGATGTTTTTTGATTGGCTAAATAAATAAATTGAAATTCGTCGCGGTTATTATAAGTTTGTTTCCAGCCCCCCCCTTCCGCCCCACCCCTCCTACACACATTCTATAAAAATTCTAAAACTTGTTGTTGTGTGTGATAGAAAAAAAAAACTTTTTTTAAAGTGCTCAGAATGTTTAAGAATTATTTTCATCATCATTATGTTTTCAAAAATGACGATGGTTGTGCATAAATTTTATTCTTTTTTGTTTTTTAAAGAAGAAAAAACAAAAAAAAAACATGAATCAATCAATTTTTGTGTACCAGTTGATTTGTTGCTATGGTAAACTTTTAAAGAAAAATATTCCATTATTTAACTTATTGAACATAACCTTGATGAAGTAGAATTATTAAAATAAATAATGAATTATTTTTATGCATAATTTCTTTATATCTATATGGTGAAAACATTTCGATGAATGTACTGATGAAGATTTTGTAAGAAATGATGAAACCTTTAAGATTGGAGAATTAATAATATACCTTAATTGAAGTTAGATATTAACACTGTTGGATGCCGGCTAAGTGGACTATCGGTTAAATGCTCAGGCGCTAGAATGGTAGGTCCTGGGTTCGAATCTCGAGAGGTGAGGTCGTGGATATGCACTGCCAAGGAATCCCACAATAGGACGAAACGGCCGTTCAGTGCTTCCAGGTTTTCCTTGATGGTTTAGCTTCAATTGACTCATGCTTTCAACTATGAAAACTAACTAAGAGTTTGTACCCGAGATTGAAGGTCCTGGGTTCGAATTCTACGGGGTGGCATCGTAGATAGACGGTGTTGAAATGTCCCAAAATGGCCGTCCAGTGCTTTTAGGTTTCTAATAGTGGTCCAGTTTAAATTACTCGTGATTTCAAATTGATAAGTCTTGCTAATTGAACACTACATTCGGATCCTAAACTAATCTCGTAAACCACCAAGCTAGAAATATACAGTGACTTGAACACGAGAGAAAAAGAGCAAAATATACGAGAAACACTTTATTCCAAAGGTTCATATATGTACAGAAAATATAGGAATTTTATGGTATTTAAGGAGTCCTTGGGTTATTCTGAAAATCCTAGGATACTACTAAATATAGTAGCAGTGTCGCATTCAGTCAATCAGAACCTCTACATGTGACTTTTCATTTTCACGATGTTGCTAGCAAAGCGTCTAATCAAACAGTGATTGGATAAAATGCTTGTTAATGTTTTGTGAGCTTGTCATTGTCTATTGGGAGAAACTTTCTGGATCATCCCAATCCTATTATGTGACACCTCAGTGACAGTGCTCATCCACGATCCCGCCTTGCGAGTTTCAAACCCATAACCTATCAGTTCCGCGTTCGAACGTTTAACTAGTGCTTCCAGGTTTTCCATGGTGGTCTAACTTCAATTGATTCATGATTTCAACTATTAAAAAATTACTATAATTATCCACAAAAACCCCTTCTGATAAAATCCTAATCTGTTGTCTTTATTTTATTATTTACATTATGAGAATCATATTTTCCATAGTTATAACTTATAGAATTAGGTCAGTTAATTCATGTTAGGAGAGAGAGAAAAGCATTTTATTTTGTCAATAAACTTATTATGTTAATTACTTATATTAAATTAGAATACATAAGTAAGAAATGACAAAACCCTGAAAGCTCCTATTTAAGAGATCAGTAATTATATAAACGTTTTCTAATTTGTATTAATCAAACATACTTAATGTTCCCCCCCCTTTTGACTTATTTATTGATCATATATCTCCCTCTGTTATTAAATTATTATAAATCAATTATAACTATTCATTTATCATAGTTTGTTTGAATCTTCCCATTGATGTTTTTAGGACTACAACTGGTCAGTTTCTAATTTGCATAAGTGCATACTGTGCATATTGCCTCGATATAGCATTAATTCACAAGTATGGTAAGCAATGATGGATAGTGCATAGCAGTGGAATCCAGTTTGACGTGTGTTTCGTCCTATTTGGGACTCGTCAGCTGGATGTACCTGAATCTCAGACTTGTTGATATTCACTCTGGGACTCGAACCCAGTACCTTTAGTTTTAAACGCCATCTCGTTATCCAACTATGTTATTTGTATATTGTATGGTAAATGTTCTCGTTAGGGACACTGTAATTTCTTATTTGTGATACTTTGTTGTCATGCAGTTGATAGAAAGTTTATCAGCTTACTGCAGTTGTCTTCTAATTTATTATAATATATTAAAAGAGTTCACTGAACCAACGGAATGAATGATTTCCCTGTTACTGTTCTCGACTATTCGTATTATTGATTAAATGGAGGTCATTAATTTGATTGATATGAGGCTACCATATCTACTGATCAAATCTATTCCAGTCTGTACCACTCATCCATCCAGACAACCAACAGATACTGGTCAATATCAATCAACAAGTCAAACTGAATCCAGTCCTGCATGTGGAAACCGTGCACAAATGCACAAATGCACTCCTAGACTATTGAGTCATCTTGATTTCAATGAAACCCAGCAATCTCTACAACCCCATACTGAAGATTATCGCGAGCTCACCAGTGACTAGCTTCGAGAAGAAATTTTTAGAGTCCTGGTGGGAACGTTTGACCAGTAAAGCTAATCCGTGTTGAAGAGTCCTATACTAGGACGAAACAGTCATCCAATGCTTCCATGTTTTCAATGGTGATCTAACATTAATCCATCCATGAATTCAACTATTAAATGAAATGCATCTTTTTTTAAAAATAAATTTTGTGCTAATTTGACCGCTAGCTATATATGTCCTCTATTTACATGTCTGTATAAACAAATCAAAGTCAGAACTTACTGACCAATCAGAATAGGGCGTTGTTCGTTGTTCTGATTGGTTCAATTGAACCAACTATATATATATATATAAGACACTAATACTACTCAGAACTGGAGCAATACTCTTTGAGTCATGATTACATACGTCGGCGTCTTTAGTTGTTTGATTACATTTCTACCATTCGTTCATATGGTTACTCTTGAACAAGCTATGTCAGATCCTGCTAAATATATAAGATATGATACAGGTGATTTTAATATTGGAATGCATGTTGGACTTTCATTATTAATAAACTATGGAATCCTATCAACTGCAGTTTTATTCATAGTTATAGTATCCAAAGCTCTTGGATATAAAAGGAAACGACATGGTTAAAACAATAAAAGGTAGGATTTGATTTATTATGTTTCTTGATCGTTTTTGCTTTAAATTTTGTATTCCAAAGACATTAAAGCTATCATTTTTTATAAAGCCATTATTTTGTTTTATTTATTTATTTATTTAAACACATAAACATTGGTACAAAGGGGGTACTAGATATATATGCACCGCCTTTGAACTAAAGGTCTGATCCACAAGGCAGTGGAGCATCGTGAGGAGATGCAGTTCCATGGTAGCCAGTGATAATTTATTTATTTATTTATTTAAACACATAAATATTGGTACAAAAAGCACCAGATAAATATGCGCCTCACAAATCTCATTCGATTTGTGTGAGGGCTGTGATACTGCACAGGTGCCAAAACTGAAGCAGGTGGTTCACATAGAGGGCCACACTCGGAGCCTTCGACCTGAAGATCTGATCGACAAGGCAGTGAAGCATCGTGAGGAGATGCAGTCCCATGGTAGCCAATGACCAACAATTGATTCATGCGCCATTTGTTCCCTCAGGATACTGGAGCCCATGTGCACTATTGGTTTGTAATCAGGGTTTTCCAACTCCCCTAGGTAAACATGGAGGGTCCACCAACCCGGTTAAAGCTCTTGCCGGACATTCGCTTTTCATCCTCTCAATTTCGTAAACAACAGTAATGTCACGAGAATGCAATGAGTAGGACTACCTTGGCGGTGGCTGTAAACTCATGGCTATATGAGAGGATTTGGAGAGGGAGAGCTGACTCTACCCACTCTCGGCCGTACCAATGCATTCGCTACCAACTATCCTAATAAATAATCGGATTTTATTGACAAAAAGAACCCCAATAAATTTGGTTTTATTACGAATAAATCAGAACATAAGTCTATATGTTTATTTCGTTGGTTTACATAAAAATCATCCCGCATATTTATTTTAAAAATTAATTCAATAATTATTTACAGTTATCGTGATATCGCTTAGATACTAAGATTTAAGATATTAAGGAAATGTTTTGAGCTTCTAATTCATCATTTATCATTATCCCAAGGGGGTTTTGTGGAGAATTTAGTAATTTTATATAGTTTAGATCATTAGTCAGTTGTAGCTAGACCATCATGGAAAACCTGGAAGCACTGGACGGCCGTTTCGTCCTATCGTGGGACTCCTCAGCAGTGAGCATCCACGATCCCGCCTCGCTTAGGCTGTTGAAATACAACTCTACAGTTAATCTAGATTCGTACAAAATTGACGTTATTTTCCAACTTGACAATATGTATTGACTTTCAGATTATAAATCAAAGTGCTGCTTTATAGTATTTTTCGAAAAGTAGATAGATAGTTATGGGGTCTTCATGTTTGTGAAGTGACTACTCATTGATTAAAGCATCCAACTTTTGAGCACTATACAACAAGTTCCAACCTCTTTCCATTTACGTCGGTTTGGATGACCATTTTGCATCACTATCTCTCAAATATGGAGTGTGGTTTAAGATTAATAACAAGAATCTATATGAAAAATCAATTAATAGTGATATTGTAGTCTACTTTTAAGGAATGAATGGTCAACAATCCAGTATGTAAGCCTGTATTTCAAACAATAACTTGTAATGTAGTGATGAAAAGCTAACTAGTTTTGTAAACGGCAGTTGTAATCACAAAAGTTAATTAAACACTAGCGAATATACATGTGATTAATAGAATGCAAATAGTCAGAAATTCATGTTTTTTTCTTAAAATACATTGATTTATCAATATGTGTGATTTTAAAGAATTCATTTATAAAATCTTATCACATGAATAATTTGTCTAAGAGAACACACCAAAGTATCTACCTTGGTTAAAAATCTTCTTCACCATGTCAAAGCCAATTTTAGTATAGTTTCACGTCGAATTCTTAAAAAATAAATGAAAAATATAAATAAACATGATGGCCCTGTACGGTCGTTTCGTCCTCTTGTGGGACGCATCAGTAGTGCCCATCCACGACTTCGCCTCGCGAGACTCGAACCTAGGACCTATCAGTCTCGCCTGCATACACTTAACCACTAGACTACTGAGCTGGCATCCGATTGTGGTAATGTCTAACTTCAACCAATCCACGAAATTGAGCAACCATTTAACTAATGTTTTCAGTGAGTTGATATCTCACAACAGACGTGGTTGAACTCCACTGGTTACTGCTTCTCACTAGAACTCCAGAACATGTATAAAAATTCACTTGGCAAATTTTTTTAATATAAATTTTATGAATCCAAATTACACTTTTCACTACAATTGTATTTAGTCAAACAGTGTTTAAACCAGTTATGAAATATTTAAAATTCAAATCTCCCTTCAAAAAAAAACTAATGATTAATAGTTCTGGAAACATAGTACAATAAACAGAGATATCACAAAGGGGTTTATAATTAAGATCATCAGTCAATTGAAGCTAGACCACCATGGAAAACCTGGAAGCACTAGACGGCCACGAGGCGGGATCGTGGATGCGCACTGCTGAAGAGTCCCATAATAGGACGAAACAGCCGTCCATTGCTTCCATGTTTTCCATAGTGGTCTAGCTTCAATTGACTCATGATCTTAACTATATAAAACAGAGATATGTTATTTACAGTTGATTGATCACTAGTAGTGACCATCGTTATATATATAATATCAAGTTCTTCTTAATATTAAAAGCAATATTCAATATTATATTTTTGGTACAATGTAGAATTCTCAGCATAAGGTCTATTTTAGAAAAAAAAAGCATGAAAGAAACTAACAAGTGCCTACATATATATGCATAACTTAAGTAGATAAACTACCTCTAATGTTTGTTTTCAGAAGATTCAAATCTTTACAACTTTTTCTTATAATTCGAAACATGTTTAAGAACAAAAGATGTTGACTAGGTCAACTCTAACAACTTGTTCGTCACATAATATATTTGCTGGATAAGGTATTTTAGAGCTTTTATGCCTTTACTTGCGTGCATGGATTTTATTGACATATTATTCTACCAGAAGATATACATGTAGAAAGATATAAATGAAGTGGATGGATAGTATCTGATAAAATAACACCTGCTAGGAGTTTTCAAGACTTTAGATATCTATCCCCAACCGTATTAATAATGACCTAGAAAGATTCATCACACACCCTGCTAATTGCCTTCAGCACTCTTCACAATACAACAAGGCTTTTTCTCAAAAGCCCGAGAACAAATAATAGAGAATAGTAAAAAATAATTGGTAATATGCTGGAATTGACAAATTATAAGAGTAAATGCCGAGTAATCCCAAAAGCATGTGGCTTCTTTATGTAGTAAGTCAGACGGAAAATATTTTATAACAATAAAACATGAGAAGATCAAGAAAAATTAGAGGAAAGGCTTATACGAAGATAAATAACTTATGACATTGTGTTTATCATAGAATCCATAATAGTACAAGTTTATGGGTTCCAACCGGGTGTTTAGGTGCTGTTTATGTCTCAGCCTGAAGTTAACAGTTTGACATTTAGACGGGTTAAGTGTGAGACCACTAACAACAGAACACCATTTAATACGAGACAAGAACTCATTTATTTCAAAGTAAAGAAAATAGGTAGACGTCGGTATCCATACAATGAGATCATACCAACAAAAAAAAAGAAGAGGTGAAAGAACAGCTCCTTGTGGCATGCCTTCATGAGATAGTAGAAACGTTGAACACTTTCCTCCAGACAGTGTACTGTTCTCTTCCAGATAAGTGGGAACATAGTCAGTTCGTTATCCAGCTGTCAACGTTAACGCTAATTAACTTGTTAATTAGAAGTTTTGGAATAGAGTCAAATGCAGAATTGTAGTCAGGAAAAGCGCATCGAACACACTTCTTACCTTTTTCCAATCTGAACACTGTATTATGACACAGAACAACAGCAACATCCAAGGTGTTCATTTTGCATTTGTAAGCAAGCCGATGCGTATCATTACTAAATAATTAAGATAATACGTAAAAGTTTAGTAGATATGGAGGTCAAGATTTTGAAGTTTGCTTTATCGGAAATAAAACTGAAAAATACTTATTCATTTTTTTATTTAAACGCAAACATTTGTACAAGGAGGCACCAAGTAGATATGTGCCACACTTTATCATTCGATTTTTGTGAGGGCTGGGATACTATCTAGATGCCCTAATCGAAGCAGGTGGTTTCCTTAGGGGGCCGCTTCCCGAGCCCTTGAACTAAAGGTCTAGTCCACAAGGGAGTGGAGCAACGTTAGTAGATGTAATCCCATGGTAGCCAGTGACCAACAATAGGTTTATGCTCCATCTGTTCCTTCGGGGTTCAGCAGCCATGTGCACTATTGGTTTGGAATCAGGGTTTTCCAACTCCCCTAGATAAATCCCTCATACCCACCAACCCGGTTTAAGCGCCTGACATATGACAACTAGTGTATTTTTGGTGTACTGGTTTTAAACTAGATTGAAAAATGCTGTGGTCAGACTAAACGATATTACCATTCTAGTAAACCAATAGTTCTATTATCTGGACCCTGTAAGAAAATGGTAGTTTCTTGTCTGAATTTTACAAGATAACTGTAACCCTATATTTGTTAATTATATAAACACTCAGTCATAAAAGCTGAATGGATGCATCCAATCTTTACCACTACATAAAAATTTCTAAACATTTATGTTAATTTCTTCTTATAGCTCTACTTCTCATGGCGAGACTATAATTTATGGACGAACCAATAAAGATAGTAATCCTTAGATTTTAGTGCAAAGTTCATTTATCCATATGACTAAATAATATTTTGAGATTAATTCTTCACACTAATCTATAACCCTCTTTTGACCCTAGTAAGTAGGTGTTTTCTCAAGGTTACATAAGCATCACCCGAAGGTCATCCACGAATCATAGTCTCACCGTTTCCACTTGATCTTGCTTGACTTATGATCATTCGTTTAATGTCCTGCTGGTGTAATTGGTGATGTCATCATTATTTTCATCATAGTTACCTCTCACCATTTTAATCTTATATCACTATGCAGGAATGTAAAT